ATATATATATATATATATATATATATATATATATATATATATATATATATATATATATATATATATATATATATATATATATATATTTATATATTATGCTTCACAAAAAAATTTGGACCAATTTCGCGAAAAAATCTCGCACCCTGGCCCATATATATATATATATATATATATATATATATTTATATATTATGCTTCACAAAAAAATTTGGACCAATTTCGCGAAAAAATCTCGCACCCTGGCCCTATTTCTGGCTATACGTCTGTGTTAATCGTAATTGATCAACTGAATCAATTCCATCTTTAATAGTTTGACTTTGGGGGGAGGGACGTAAATTTAGAGCCCGCCGTGAACATTGTGGGCTCTGTGGTTTCTTTTTAAGAGAGCTTATTGAGGCAGAGATTTTCTGCGAACCAACATCAAGGTGGCAGACCAAATTTTGACAACGCAATTTCAGGGCACTAAGCTTTGAAAGGAAGTACAGAATAAAAATTGTGGTACCATGCAAAAAAGTGCGAGGGGCAAGGCACGCATATATTTACCACTAAAAGACCTAGAACTGCCTGTTACTAAATAGTCTATGCAAAGAGCCACAGCGGTAATTCTCATATACTGTACTTTCAAGACATTTCCCCTGAGACAACACTCGAACATTTATGAAAGACGCATAGACTAAATGTCTTACCGTTTGATCCTGTAAAGAAGTAAGCGACTGTCAAAAATGTTGAAATTATAGTAAACTTCATTATGTAGTTGGTGTTCACCTGTTACTGCTGATCTCCACAAGTACTACGGTATATACCTGTTTTTCAAAGCAAACTGCATGCTTTTTAAATATGTTTCTCTCAAGCATATGTTAATACATTTTTGCAGGAAGTTCAATAAACATGTATGACGCAAATGATAATGGTATAAGTGTGCTGAGTGCTGTGATTCTTTATTCAAAGAAAGCGATCTTTGCAATTGTACATTTTGATAATTTTTGTAAGGTATGTTTACGTACAAACCGTGTGTTACTTTTTAAGCAATTTATAATTTAAGCTATGATAGCTATCAAATCATTGTTAGAAACAATGCTACACTTTAAAATTCTTCAAAAACAAACTGCTGTTTAAATATGTTTCTCTCAAGATGAAATCATGTTAATACATTTTTGCAGGAAGTTCAACATAGATGTATGACGCAAATGATAATACCATGTGTGATTCTTTATTGAAAGAAAGCGATCTTGCAATTGTGTTCATAAGTCATCCTATTTCTTCACGAGACAAAATCAAGATTGCATGATAATTCGCACGATGTCGAGGACAAGCCTTAATTACCATTTGTCATTTTCCAAAACTAATTTGCTTAATGATCAACGCTAAATTATATCGAGAAACATTTCGAATATAATTCTTAAAACCTATTTTTTGAAACGATATTGATTAAAACATTTTGATAAATTTTGTAAAGTATGTTCATACATATGTACATACGAACGAACTGTTTATTACTTTTGAAGCAATTTATATAAGCTACGACAGCTACCAAATCATAGTTCGAAACAATGCTAAATTTTTATATTCCTTAAAGATGGTTATTATACGAATTCCTGTGAAACTTTAATACCTATAGAATCGCCAACGTGTGTCTTTTCCATTTTCATGTAAAAATCTGTCTAGCACTAAGAGAAAGAAAATTCGGACTCAACTGTTAATATGAACTAAATTTATTTTTATTATTAATTTAGGGAATTAAGCGACTGTCAAAATGTTGAAATTATAGCAGACTTCATTATTTGGCTGGTGCTCCTCTGTTACTGTTCGTTTCGATAAGTGCTACACATGCAGGAAGTCTTTATCTACCTAACATAGTCTAGTTAATTTAACCAGGACGTTGTGGCCAAGTACAACCCGATTCCAGGTTACATTAATCAAACTATGGCAGCTGGGAAGCGAATAAAAAAATCCCTGCAAATTTAGCCAGGAATATTAAGTTATCCCGAATAGGGTTATTTCTACGTTAACCATGCAGTAAAATTTTAACCAGAGTGTTTTAGAGTGAATGACTCGACTTGTTACATCACGTATGGCGTATATACCTCATGGTAACTAACTTTTTATCTTTTTAGATGGGCAAAGTATCGGCAGAAATTAGTGGAAAACGTTTGTTTTCCGTGTAGGAAAATTGTATATTTTGTACAAAACGAGATCAAGTTTGCCTGATGATTCGGATGATGTTGAGGACACGAGGTCAACGTGATATAGACCACTCTCGAGTTGACTCGAGTCCAATTCATTGACTCGACTTGTTACAACACAGCACATATGACGTAAATGATATAAGGTGTAGGTGTGCTGTGATTCTTCATTCAAATTAAACAAAGCGTCCTTTGTGGCAGCGTTTACATATTAATCAAATCGCATCATTTTCGCATGTGTAGAGAATTTATCACATGCATTTAGATGGGTATATTAGGTATCGACAGAAATTTCCAAAATGACTGGAAAACATTTGTTTTCCATGTAAAACGTGCGTCGTCCGAAATGTTACGTTGTATAAAATGTAGGAAACGAAATCAAGTATGCGTGATGATTCGCATATTATTGAGGGCATGACGTAAGTCGGCAAATGTTATAGACAGTGTGCGCATATCGCTCTGTAATTTTCCATAAGGCGTTTTTAATGATCGACTCTAAATAGAACTCGGAGTTGCGATTTATAAGTGGTCAATCATATCAACAAATATTTGGAATATTAGTTTTAAAAGGCATTTATTTGAAACGATAATAACATAAAGCATTCTAAATTTTTAATAATTTTTCTGAAGTATGTTTATGCCCAGGCGAACGTACCCGTTTGTTACTGACGTTCATTGCCCTCCAGTTTATCAGATGACTCAAGACATTATTGTTGGGAAAATGCCGTCTTTTTGAAGTCTCTAAAGGCATGGTTATTTTGAATTGCTACAAAATTTAGTTTAGGATAAAGGATAGTCTCCTTACAAAACCCTTGTAGAATCGGACATGTTTATAACCTATTCTAGACCTATTTTTTCTCTATTTAGCCCTATTTTTTCCGTATTTTTTAAAAAATATGACTATTTTATTACTATTTATCAAATTTAATAAAATAGTATATGACTTTACACGGACTCTTTAGTAAACGGCGAGTTTTGTTGATGAACTTTTGGTCAAAATATTGCCATATCTGCCAATAAATGGGAGTCTTATCCATATTTTGGGTAGATCATCAGGTGCTGCGCGTTCTGTAAAGGCCGGCGCACACTACAGCTATGTGCTTAGCAAAATGTCATTCGTGACTGTTGGCGTAAGGAGATAGCTCTCGTGTGCGGGCGATTTACGAACGACTTTTGTCATTCGTGCCACTTACGCCAAATATCTAACATGTTTGATAATTTCTGCCTCGCGTGCCAAAATCTTTCTGTGTGCGGCGAACGAAAGCTATCTGCTTACTGATTGTCGTAACAGCGCATGCGTAGTATACGAAAGTAAACATCCAAGATGGCGGCGCAAAATGAATTGCTGGCCGAGGCAATTTTAGAGGACAAACTTACTGGCTATTTCTTTCACCGCACATTCCCTTTTGTCCCTATTTCTAAAATCTGCAGAACACACATCGTATAAACATTTATATTCAGGCCAAAGTTCGACAAGTTTGTCCTCTAAAATTGCCTCGGCCAGCAATTCATTTTGCGCCGCCATCTTGGATGTTTACTTTCGTATACTACGCATGCGCTGTTACGACAATCCGTAAGCAGATAGCTTTCGTTCGCCGCACACGGAAAGATTTTTGCACGCGAGGCAGAAATTATCAAACATGTTAGATATTTGGCGTAAGTGGCACGAATGACAAAAGTCGTTCGTAAATCGCCCGCACACGAGAGCTATCTCCTTACGCCAACAGTCACGAATGACATTTTGCTAAGCACATAGCTCTAGTGTGCGCCGGCCTTTAATAAGGTCAACGTGTGGGATGTTATTGCTTCCTTCCGGGTTTGGTGTAAAGGCATTAATTAGTTTCTTGGTCAGGTTGCGAGAAAACCGTTCCAGGAAATAAAATCTCGTATAGTCTTGAGTTCTAACTTCAATAGTTGATCATTGTTACATATCTTGTATGCGCGGTTGATAAGGGCTCTTATCCATGCTGTTTTGCGCGACCAAGGCGTGAAACTAGAAAGGTGCGTGTATTGACCTGTGTGTGTAGACTTGCGAAAATAGTTATGTCCGAGGAGTTAATCTTTCGGTCAAGAAAGTGTACGTTGTTGTCAGGGAAATCTTCGAATGTAAACTGGATTTGAGGGTGGAATGAGTTGAAGGCTTGTAGAATGATTGGAATGTCAGACGGTTTTGCGAGAACTAGCGTATCATCAACATAGCGGGCGTAAAATATTTTGACCAAAAAGTATATGACTATTTACACTCTATTTAAAAGTCTTAAAATATAGGTTATTTATATTTTTCAAAAAAATAGCTTTGAAATAGGTATTCAAATCCTATTTGAAAGAGTAATTGACAGAATATCACTATAAAATAGCTTTTAAATAGATATTTAATTCCTATTGATGACAAACGAGTCAGTTAAAATAGTTTTAAATAGCTCTTTTTAAACTATGTTTGCTTCTCTTCTTTGGAGCCATTCTTAAAATAGTTATTAAATAACAAAATAAATAGATCTTAAATAGCTATTAATTCCTATTCATAGAAAGTTGTGGCGAACTTTGGTCAAAATAGGTATAAAATAGCTATTTTTAAACTATGTTTGCTTTTATTTTTAGAACCATTCTTAAAATAGTTTATAAATAGCAAAATAAATAGACCTTAAATCGCTATTTAATTCCTATTCAAAGAAAGTTGTGGCGAACTTTGTTCAAAATAGCTGTTAAATAGCTATTTTTAAATTATGTTTGCTTTTATTTTTAGAGCTATTGTTAAAATAGCTAATAAATGGCAAAATAATTAGATCTTAAATAGCTATTTATTTCCTATTCATACTAAAAAGTTGTGAGAATTGAGAAAGGGTAAGTGTATTTATTTAACTGGTCCAAATTTCCCAGTTTGAGTTAATTTTAAATTTTTCATGAGTTCATTGGAATTATATTTACAAAAATATTTATGGTCTTTGTGGAGGTAGATTTTTTGTCACTTGACAAAACACCATTTTCTGACAAATTAAAACACTGCCGAAAATTCTCATGATGAACAGGATATACAGGAAATACAAGAAGCTACTAAACACGATAAAACTTTACAACTGCTTACTGAAATTATTCGCAAGCAAGCATGGGGCTCCATAAAAGACTTGCCAACAACTGGAGAAGACGTAAGTGAATTGAATCTGTTTGCAAAGGTAAGAGATGAACTAACAATTAATGAACAGTTGGGTATTATTCTGAGAGGAACTCGTATTATTATGCCTTGTTCACTTCGCGAAAGAGCTATACGACTTGCGCATGAAGGCCATCAAGGGTTGGCAAAAACAAAACAACTGATTCGGAAAAAAATTTGGTTCCCTAGAATAGATAAAGATGTTGAAACATTGATTCGTGGTTGCATACCTTGTCAGGCCAATGGCACAGCAAATCACCCTGCCCCATTAAAGATGACCGAGTTACCCCCTAAGCCATGGCACACGGTCCATGTTGATTTTTGTGGACCATTTCCAACAGGGGAATATACTTTAGTTGTCATCGACGCTTACTCCCGCTTCCCAGAGGTTGAAATTGTGAAGTCTACATCAGCCACCTCAACCATATCTAAGCTCGAAAGAATATTTGCAACCCATGGACTGCCAAACATACTAAAAAGTGATAATGGCCCTCCCTTTCAAAGTAATGAATTTAAACAGTTCATGACAGAAAATGGTATAAAACATCAAAGAATCACACCATTATGGCCAAAAGCCAACTCTGAAGCAGAGAATTTTATGAAACCAATGGAGAAAGCTATTCGTGCAGCTCACATTGAGAAAAAAAATTGGCGGAAAGAATTGTACCACTTTTTATTGAACTATCGAGCTACCCCACACACAACAACAAAGTTCGCGCCAGCTGAACTTTTATTCAATCGAGAAATTAACACCAAATTACCAAGTAAAATTATCAACCAAAACACCAAGATTGATCAACAAGTTCGAGCAAACGATGAAAAGGGTAAAAGAAACATGAAAAGAAATGCAGACAAGTCAGCCAATGCCAAAGAGGTTGACATTAAGGTTGGTGATACAGTATTGGTCCGTCAGACAAAAAAGAATAAATGGTCAACACGGTTTGATCCTAAACCCTATTGTGTAACGCGGGTGAAAGGAACAATGATAACAGCTACTCGTCCAGGACATTATATCACAAGAAACATTTCATTTTTCAAGAAAGTGCTACAACAAGAGATTCAACACAACTCTGAGGATGCAAGCGATGAGGAAGATTACAGTAAACTTGATAATAACCTCCCTGACACAAACTTTGAGGAGAACAATGAACTTGCTGAGAGACGGTATCCTGCGAGAGACACAAGACCTATCAATAGATATGGTCAAAACATATATAATGCTTAGTAATTTTAATAATTCGATTTTATAATACCATTGACATTTTGTTAGGACTTCAGTGACAATTCAAAGTAAGGGAGGGATGCAGTGATCACATGATAGACATGTGATACAATAACATTTATATATAGTTTTAGGGTGTGTTCACATTAGTGATTGATTGAGCGTTGAATAAATAAGTACAACATTACACTCTCTAATACAAACACATCTCTATTATACACACTCTCTAATACGAACACTTCTCTAATACAAACATCTCTCTAATATGAACACCTCTCTAATATGGCCACAACTCTAATAAGGACACCTCTCTAATACAAACACATCTCTACTATGCACACTCTCTAATACGAACACTTCTCTAATACAGACATCTCTCTAATATGAACACCTCTCTAATATGGCCACATCTCTAATAAGGACACCTCTCTAATACAAACACATCTCTATTATGGACACTCTCTAATTCAAACACTTCTCTAATACAGACAACGCTCTAATATAGGCCTATCTCAATTATAGACACCTCTCTAATACAAACACTTTTATATTAGAGACGCCTCTCTAATACGTACACTTCTGTAATATGGACACCTCTCTAATATAGACAACTCTCTAATATACTACAGTAGGCACATCTCAAATATAGACACCTCTCTTATACAAACAGTCTCTAATATGGACACCTCTATGATACGAACAACTCTATAATATGGACACCTCTACTAATATAGGCACCTCTTTAGTATGGACATCTTGCTAATATGGGCGCCTCTACATGTAACACGGATACTGTACCTCTCTAATATGGATACCTCTCTAATAATACGAACACATCTGCGTGGACATCTTTCTATTTAAAGGTTGATTTCCACTGTGGCGTTTTTCATACGTACTTGTACGTATAGGCACGTAAAACTTTAAATCCGTTTAAATGTTACTTATGAAATAACCAAATAAATAAAGCAACAGAATTTAGTGTTCCGCAACTTTTAGTATGCATTTGTTAACTGATTTGCAAAATATTTAAAAAGCAGAAGGATTCCACGTTTTATGTGCGTACGAAGAACGCAACAGTGGAAATCAGCCTTAATATGAATATTTCCCTAATAAGGACACACTCTAATGTGGACACCACTCTAACATGGGCAGTTCTCTATTATGAATACTTCTGTAAAATGGGCAATACCATAACAGTACCTATTAACTCTTTCTTAGGATACTGAGTTGCACTTTGAAAAAATGAAATGTCAGGTAGTAACCTTCTACAAAATAGGAAGGAAAATACGGTACAGCTACATATGTCCTATTTTAGTTATTTATATTTAAATGACATTAAAACCAAGTTTTGTTATAAAGCCAACAAATAGCCGAATGTGATACCTGCAATCTTTATCAATTTGAAATAAAGTTTCATTTTCTTTAAAGTACGTACTCCATTGACTTGATGGATTAGGATTAAGTGGCTGTAAAGAAAGCTTTACCCATTGAGCTACAGCTCCTTGACGTGTAAATCGTCTGGCATTAGACAGAGTGAAATAATAAAGTAGGGCGCATTAGGGCATGATGCATCTTGGCGGGTTAACTAGACACATGGGTAGAATTTTTTTAAGGATATATACTTTGTACTTTTTACTTACAGTAATATGTACGTTTTGCCTCCAGTACTTTTTACTCTTACTCAAGTCGTTTTATTGTTACAGTGCGTCTACTGTAAGTGGGGCCACTTAGAGAACACTAACCAATCACATTGCAGAACAGAAAGTGAAAAAATCAACAAACGGCGCATTAGCCAATCAGCATTAGGGCAAAAACAATTCGAACAAATAAACGAATGTCAAACGGTAAAAGTAGACATGTAAAAGTAAACATTGCAGTTAATGGCTTCCTGAATCTTTCTTTTGATTGGACGAGCTTTAGTTTGATTAGATTTTTCTTTCTGTTCTGCAATGCGATTGGTTAGTGTTCTCTAAGTGGCCCCACTTACAGTAGACGCACTGTAATTATTTCTACTTTTACTCGAGTACAAATTCAAAGTAATTTAGGCACCAATGCTGATGTAGTTAGTACTTGGTTAGACACAATACAGCTAGTATGTGTATGGCTAACTAAATGTTATTACAACAAGTTCAGGTTCGAATATTTGCAGTATCGTGATATCTACAGTATAAAATTTGGTTGCGGATACCAAACTGTGACTTGTGTCTCAACTGAATACTACAAATTTGAAAGATTAACGTCTGTATTCAAAAAGCTCACTCACACTCACACTCAATGAGTGGACACTCATTCTTAATAAGTGCAACTCACCACTCACATAGTATAATGTGACACTCACACTCCAACTATTCAAAGACACCACTCACACTCAAGTGAAGCTCCGATTTTGAGTGAGTGAGGTAGACGTCCCTTGAGCCGCACTCAGTTTGTACCATATGGTTTGTACTTAGTGATTCAAATATGGCGGAAAGGTGGTTAAGAAGGTTAGAATTACTGGACAATGTCGCAAGAAACAACAGAGACAGGAGGAAACCATATATTTTTTATTATGGGAAATATGACGAGGAGCAGTTTTGATGCAGATACCGGGTAACTAAGGCTGGATTTCGAGAGTTACTGGATATAATTAGACCAGAAATATCTGTACACAACGAGCGAGGAAACTGAGGAAAGCCCATTAGGTCAGATATACAACTTTTGTTGATGCTAAGGTTGTACGCCACGGGTACATTCCATGTAGCATGCGGAGATTTGTGTGAGATTTCGCAGCCATCAGCAAATCGAATTATAAAGCGAGTATCCGAGGCAATCGCACCGCGCTCAAGGAACAATTACATAACATTTCCTGAAGGCGATATTTTGGATCAACTCAAACTTGATTTCTGGCGAATTCAAGCTGTTTGCGGGCCAAATTTAGATATTTTAAACATTGTTGCACGTTGGCCAGGTAGCATACATGACGCCAGAATATTCGACAATAGTCGCATATAGTGCACAGTTTGAACATGGTGATATCCAGAGTATATTACTTGGTGATAACGGTTATCCATGCCGTCAACATCTAATGACACCAGCAATTGATCGCAAACCCAACCGCAAACTACCGCAACGCAGATATACAACTGATGTAACACAAATGCGTACGTACACGAAACACCGTGGAAAGGATGTTTGGCGTATGGAAAATGCTATTTCCATGTCTTTCAACAACCCTTCGCACAAAATTGCAAACGTCCCTAACTATAATTGTTGTTACAGCTGTGTTGTTCAACTTTATATCTTGTTTGTATGATGTTACTCTGAGTGTATATCCACACCGGGCAGGCTTGAAAAATATGCCTGGCCACGGCGGGATTCGAACCTACGACCTTTGGAATACTAGCCCAATGCTCTTCCAACTGAGCTACGCGGTCAGGACGGTTCGAGTATGCGATATTTCGGAACTGAGTCTAGTTCCTTCGACATCAGTGTAATCTAATAATCATAAAATCTGCTGTGCTGGTGTAATGTACTCAGGTGAATAAGATGTTTGTGTGATGTTACTCTGAGTGTATATCCACACCGGGCAGGCTTGAAAAATATGCCTGGCCACGGCGGGATTCGAACCTACGACCTTTGGAATACTAGCCCAATGCTCTTCAACACAGCAGATTTCATGATTATTAGATTACACTGATATCGAAGGAACTAGACTCAGTTCCGAAATATCGCATACTCGAACCGTCCTGACCGCGTAGCTCAGTTGGAAGAGCATTGGGCTAGTATTCCAAAAGTCGTAGGTTCGAATCCCGCCGTGGCCAGGCATATTTTTCAAGCCTGCCCGGTGTGGATATGTTGATGTTACACTCAGAGTAACATCATACAAACATCTTATTCACCTGAGTACATTATACCAACACAGCAGATTTCACAACTTTATATCTATATGAACCAGAACATATTCTGGCCGCGATGAGGAAGAAGCTTAGATGCTTTACCGACGTTTGGGCAATGCGGTACGACAATTAGCCCTGATAATGCAACATTTTACGTAAATTATGAATAACATATTCAATATGATAATGCAATTAATATACGTTGCTTTTAATTATTCATTTTATTTTCTAGAAGATCTTTGTATTTTGGCACTAATTCAGTTAACAGCAACTTTTCCAATTGCGAAAAATATTGTCTAGCTTCATGCAGCCATATTGTTCAGCAACCCCGTACAATGCATTGACAAGTCTACAACAGTCTCACTAGTTTATATACCTTCTACATCAACATCAAACCCAAACTCCAGCAAGTCACACTCGAGTGAGCTCTTTGAATACAAATCTAGCTAATATTTTCTAAAGTGAGTGCTCCCTCGTTGAGACTTGAGTGGACACTCACACTCATACTCCACTCTCACTCGCACTTCAACCCTACCTGAGTGCATCTCATTCGAGTCACACTCAAGTGTGAGTGTGAGTGAGCTTTTTGAATACAGGCGTAAATGTCTCTGCTGGTCTCCTGAGTAATATGAGTCTGCCATCTTAAATATAGTCATCATGAGTATTTCCACATTCAAGGATAGTGTCAATATAAAAGTTTGTTCAAGGTTTAAGTGCATTTTAGTGTATTAACTATTGAGTCTCTTGGGGCAGCGATAGCCAGCTGTTTTAGGACCTTGCTGGTGATTTTGAATTTCAAAGTATAGGGAACCGGCAAAAATATTATATTTATTCACCGATGACTCGCTTACAATAACATGTACATATAGATGCACAGAACTTGTTAATGTTCGTTCCTATACACCAAATAAAATGTATTACTGTGTTCTTACAAATATTGTGTTGGTTTACATCACTATTATTTGGCCTATGGCTATGCCCACTCCAGAACATAACTAAACTTCGCTTGGAAAATAGCCGGCAAAAATTTTCACCTACGTTAATTGGCTCTAAACAAATGATTAGAAGTATTTCAGATCTACAACTAAACGTTAAAATTGAAAACGAATCAGTTAAGCAAGTTCATGAATCCATAACCCTTGGGGTGACAATTGACCAGCATTTATCTTGGAAAAGTAACACTGAGAATATTT